GAACAAACCGAAGACACGTTTGCACTCACTTTCTGCCCAAAGCCATCACCAAATATAGGCCACAACTCACTAATATTAGACTACAGGCCAGGAGTGTCGTGAATCCAATGCAAAAGGACAGCGGAATGATCGCAAACCTATCACAACATGGGATCAAATAGATGTAACCATTTAATTACAGTCACCGATAATTAGTAACACAATTATAACTTGAAAATACTATTCAAACAAGTAGTCAACTATTTGGACAATTTGTTTATCAATTGTTCAGCAAATGTTGAAGCAATTGGTGACTCACAGCAAATACAGGACGGCTTTAATCCAATGGGGCTTTGCGTCCAAATAAGAGGACGGCATATACGCGAAGTCGAGGAATGTGCAGAAACAGGGCGCCTCCAGAAGCGCCATCAATAGGCCCTCAATCCTATGGGATAAACACATGACAATCAGATATAAGGGACAAAGTGTTGGATGTGTTGGTGACTGACATGAGGAGAGCGGCCGCGAAAATACACGTCGGGCTCAAGATGTTGAAGAATACGCCCATAAATCCAGACGCGACACCAACTGACACACAAAGACATCATTAATACAAATGAGTGGTAATTAATGGCAGGTATAGAGGAGACAACACATACAGAGTCCGGCGATAGTGGCGACCACTTTGGCTCCGGTAGTCAAAAGCCAGGGCACGTCCGAGTGTGGGGTCGGCGTCGGTGGCGCTTCTGTTGTGGCATTTGATCGCAAGAAATTCATTGTCCACTCAGTTCTCGGATCCTATTATCAGATGAAATGGCCGTTCAGTGCACACAATGGATGTGTTGGTTGTATGGACGACACAAACACACGTTTATGTGTTTATAATAAACACTAATAAATGCTATAAAATGTAAACTATTTGATGAAAAAAGTGCCAAAAAATGGTTGAGTTTTGAGAGAAACGTGAAGAAAATGAGTCCAAAAATAGTGTCAAAATGAATGGCAAACGACACGCAAAACACAATACGTTTCACTCGTATTGTCGTAATCAGTGAATTGATAAGAGAGTGAAACGT